CCCTTCAAGTCTAAAGACAAAGTATTTCAGGGTATCAGTGATTTCACTTGGTACTCCCTTTCAGGTAGTCCTCCACTTAGAACTGTTTGTTTAGTGACTTTGCTTGTCAGAAGGTCACAAAAGGTAACCGCATGACCCCTGGACACCACAACCATCATAAATATATAGCAGTTGTCAAGCATCCAAATTTTGATCCCGTGACCATGGGAATGCTGGAACAGTTGTGTGAAAAATGGTCATTGGTCACTTTTTTCAGTGCCATAACTTTAAAACAGTCACTAAACAAACAGTTCTAAGTGGAGGACTACCTGAAAGGGAGTACCAAGTGAAATCACTGATACCCTGAAATACTTTGTCTTTAGACTTGAAGGGTGCCAAATCCATGCTAAAATAATACCTTCTGTGCCCATATGTTTAAAAGTAGGAGCATAGTGCCAGATTTTAATTTCCTTTTAAGAGATACCAAACAATTAGAAGGAATATTATTATGGATAATCTGGTGAAGGAAGATTGAATTTGGCGTGGGTCAAATAGTTTGAATAAATTGTTGCTCATACTTTTCTTTTGATTATATTTCTAGAATTCTATTTATCATGAATTTATTGAACTGTTAAATATATCTATTCAAATTTCTACCTATTTCCTTTTTAAAAAATTGGAATGATAGGAGCAATAGCAGATAGGAATCAACTATTTTTTAAAAAATGTTTGCTGAAATGTAATGGAATTAAGATTTTGTAAGCTGTAAAAGACATCACCCTGCCAACAAAAATATGTATAGTCAAAACTATGTTGCAATGTATGGCTGTGAAAGTTGGACCATAAGAAAGGCTGAGCACCTTTCAGTCCTAGAGGAGATCAACCCCCCACTGGTCTTCAGAAGGCCAGATCCTGAAGATGAAACTCAAATACTTTGGCCACCTAATGAGAAGGAAAGGCTCACTGGAAAAGAGCCCAAGGCTGGGAAAGATTGAGAGCAAAAGAAGGAGGGAACGACAGAGAATAAGGTGGCTGGATGGTCACTGAAGCAGTCGGTGTGAGGTTAAATGGACTCTGGGGGATGGTAGAGGATAGGAAGGCCTGGAGGAACGTTGTCCATGGGGTCCCGATGGATTGGACACAACTTGCAAATAACAAGCTGTAAAAAGCAATGTTGCTTTAATACCCATGATAACTCTGGTCCAAATCTAATCTTAAGGTAGTTAGATGTTTACTAGTGATCCATACTTGATTCAAATAAACCTGTTTAGAATTCTACTTGGCCTGATGGGAGAGTCCAAAATGAGAGTTTGGTATATTTAATTTCTCTTGACTTTATATTTGAATTGCATTCTAACTCAATTATTATACCTTGCAGAAAGTTTTTGTCATGCCAAACATGGACGACCTTTATATTCCTCTAATGCACTCAGTCACGGACCCCCGCTCATCTATGTGCCCTTTGAAAGATTCTGAAGATACCGAATTGGAGCAGCCATGAAATGTGAAGACTGCAGTTTACAGTATTAACAGATGTTGTTTTCATGTTCTCTTTCAAATGAAACAAGTCTAGATGATTTTTGTCCTTGTGCCATGTTTTATTTTTTTAAAGATAAGATCGCTTCTGCCAATAATTGCTCCAGTTATGGCTCTCTATTGACTTTAGAGCATTAGTTCCATTTCTGCTAGGCTTTAAAACCTAGTAGTTAATATGCACTCTTCTGCAGTAAACTAGGAAGAAAATCCAACTAGCAGCAATTGATCGAACAGATTTGATCCACATGGGAGTACTTTATGGATGTGCAGTAATTCAGGATACACCTTGAACACTGACAGTGTGTGTCTCATCCAGCCATATGGAACTTGTTTTCAATAAGGCATGAACATGTCTAACTGGAAGACTTCTCCTCTCAAGCAGCTGGAGATATAAATGGAAGTGGCATGTTCTTCACTCCTGCAGTCCCAATAGCTTGTGTCAAGCAAATTTGAAAGTTTTTGGAGCTAAGAATGTACATTGGATGTATAGGTGATATTGTCAATCCATATAGATTATGCATAGTAACTTATTTTTTTCATATGAAATTGAGTTTCTTGGAAACAAGTAGCCATATAATACATGCAAACATACATAATTGGTTTTAAGGGATCTTGTGATTCTTTAGAAAAAGAAACAAATTAAGACAAAGCCATGAGACCAAACTACAGTAAGCCTTCTAGTTAGTGTGTTACAATTGCAGAAGTTGTGGTTGATGGCTCTCGGAGTTGAAAACACATAGAAATGTCCAAGGCCATGCATGTACTCATCGGAAATGATTGCATGGAAGGAGCCATTCACTTTCACCAACCAGAATGTTCACAGCTGTTTTTGTTCCCAACTCTGTAGTGGATCCTCGTTTATCCATTTAAGGTGCAAATCTTGATTACAGCTCTCTTTTTTTGGTCAACGTAGCTAAAGCACCTTGTAGGCTGGCTTGTATGAAAGTAACAATTCCAAAGCACTACAAGTGAGAATGGCCAAGAGAACACTGCCTTGCTGTTCCTTTCTGTATGGACTAAACACATAATACTGAATCTAACTCTTTTGAACACTACATAAGCAATGAGTGTTTCTTGATGCTCAGTATTGCCAACTACTTATGTTGAAAGAATGTTAATTTAGTTTACAAAGAAAGCAGGTGAGCTATGGAGTTCACTCTTTGATAGTGTACTAGGCTTTACATATTTCTAAGATCTTTTTTGTATGTTGTGTTAGGTTCCTGCGCCCAAATTTCTCATGATTTGCAATCTCCAAATGAAGCTAATTGAAGTTGTTTTTTAAAAGCACCTTGCCTGAAACATTTTAAATTTAGCATTTAATATATTGACATAATCGTATTATTTGGACAACTATTTTGTTACCTCAACTCTGGGACCATTCCATTTTATGTACTATTCTCATTGCTCAATGAAAGCATTTTGCCTTCCTCTTAAATCTGCATGTCTTATTCACAGCTCTTCCCCCCACCCCCATCTGTGCAATAAGTCAAAATACTAGATGCATAAATATGTAATCAATTATCCAGGTTTGGCACAAGTAAATTCACTGCATTTCATAATCAGACTGTGTGGGTTACTACAGTGGGCTTGCTTTTTTTTCCAAATAAACTTATCCCATGTCAAAATCTGTTTTGATGTTTGGTGGGGTAGATGTGTGAGTGCATATCCAGGAATACAGCACTCATAGTTCAATGAGACTGAAATACTGAAAAATTGCCAAATCGTATTCTACAATTCTTCTGAACGTTTCAAGCTGTTATATCCAGTACTCATGAAAGATATATTTTCTGTGGGAGCAGTCAGGCAAAATAGATCATGTCTCACGGCACCGGAGCCAGCCAGTCCTCTAAGCCAAGAGTACTCAAGATTCTTTGGGGGATTGATCTAGATTCTAGAGCATAAAAAGCTCTAGAATTTAAATAGTATATACTGGTAATTCTTCAGGATTTAATTTACCTTTCTACAGGATGCTTTCTGAATTTTGCTCCAAATAGAAGATCTGAGGTGTTTTTTCTTTTTTTGTAAATTTTTCTTCCATTTGTAAAGCAAGGTTTAGGGGATGCAGTCCATTTCCACCCACAAGTCTTTTCTAAATAACAGAATTAGCTTCCCAGATAGGAAAACGTGCTATATATCCAACAGCTCTTCTTAAGTAGTTTTTTCTTTCTGTATTAATGTAGCACTGTGATCTAAAATGTGGTTTGGTATTACAGCTGTGTAAACTATCAAATGTTTTAGGAAATTTCTCCAAAATTGCTGCTCAATAAATAGAAATGATTTGCATCTCCATAGGATGTAAATTAAAGCTGCACCAGAGATCAGACACCCAATGAAGGGTTCAGGCCTTTTCCCTAAATAACCAGACACTAGGAACTACATAGGACAGACTGTGTGCTTATCACATTAAACCAGAGGTCATGGTTTAGCACTGCCAACCTAAGTCAAATTGAGTTTCCATTATGTCACAAGAACCCAGACTGGATTGCATTACAATCACATTATGCGAATTTAACCAGCATCAATTTTGTTTGATAGCATTACTAAAGTTTTGCCCAGATGTTGCAAGAGATCTCGACTTAACTATATACACAATTATATTTGTTCAGGGGTTCCCAGAGATGTGAAAATTTCAAGGCTACCTCTGGTTGAGGCTGCTCTGTAGAATTTTAACTGGTTTCCAAAAGAATTTTTTTATCCAGGAATATATCAATTCACCCTTCCTAAAATATTGGCAAAACCCAAATTGAAACTACACATTCAACATGTTGCACTCTTAAATAGGCTTTAGTTGCTTATCTCATTATATTCAGCATTAAACCAGATGTGATTGGTTGACAAAGTTGTCAGTTACACCCATGCTAGAGTGCTTCTCTGCAAAGAACTCTGGTTGTGGTAAAATTTATCCATATTATAAAGTTGTGGCTAAATCAGAGGGCTGTATTTTGTTCTGAAATATATTGAAGTTGTGTCCTAAGCGGCATGGAAGGAAATTAGCAATGGAGTACCCTACTTGGACTGCTGGCTTTTCATGAATGCTCTACTAGTATACCAAAGGTTTGTCCCATAAAGAAGTAGCTACCCTCCATGCATAATCTTTAGTCCCATTTTCTCTGGGTTTGTATAGGAGTAATGTGCACTTTGCTAGGTTGTGTGCTACAATTCTAAATGTCCAGAGGAGACTTACGGTTATTCTTTCAGTAGGTGGTAATGTTTAGTAGGAGGCAATCAGTTGGGGGGGGGGGCGTGTGCTTTTTGATGAAATATGACACCAATGAGATTGCAATGAGCTGCAGTGCCTTACAGCTCGTCTCCCAGTGGGGTTTTACAGGACACAGGACACTTTTGCTTGAGGCTAGGTTGTTACTATCATTTTTGAAGATGGGATTATGCACTGTCAAATTGAAGCACTCCTACATAACACTCTCGCAAGATGATCAAGCACCTGAACGTCCACTATTATTTGGGGAACTTACTACATATTTGAACATTAAGCATGAGATGGATTGTAACTTGTCTTTAAAAGAATCACTCAGGTTTAAGCTGAGCAACACCAGTTATAAGCAAGCTTTTTATTTTTGCACTGTAGCGTAGCCAGTGAGACCATGAATGGGCCATGCACCAGTTCAAAGGCAGTGCTTCAAACCTATCTGAAAAAAATATCCAAACTAAGCAGGTTTTAAATTTATTTATTTACAACATTCAAGACATCCCCACATCATAGCCTCCTTGTGTTGCTTAGTTCAACAAGTGACAGTTGGTTCCAGAGGTTTTCATTCAGCATCACATCAATCTTGGCACACCTAGAGCAAAAAAAGCAGGATTCAGGGTAGTGATTTAAGAATGCTGAGATACCTTTGCTCAGATCTAGAGAGATTATGGTTTTACGTCTTTTTTTTAAAAACACAACATATCACTGAACATTAAGAGCTAGGGTGCCATTACCTGCCCCTGGGCAGCTGATGCTGGTGGCTCAGATACAGGGTCTCTTCATCTGCATCAGCAGTCTAACACGCCAAAAATATCATCACAGCAGCCAGCATAGGGTTCCCAATTTAGATCACTCAAAAGCAGGATTACAAAGGTTTATTCTGATGTGCTCACCAAGAGATGCAGATATATCCCTGTCCTACTGCAGTTCTTTGGATGCTAACAGTAGAGGGAACCTTTTTGAGTCTTCAAGACTAACCAAGTCCATATCAGACATGTCACCCATGAATTTCTTCACTCATTTAATGACACCCATCACTCTTGTGTTCATAAATTTCAGGGTGGAAAACTTTTTTTGCTCTAAAGCACCTTCTCTGCAGGACCACTTGCACTTTTCTCATTTGTGGGGAGGAAAAGGTTCCTACCTTTCCAACTCAGCATACACTGTCATCATAAGCTAGAATAGAGTTTTAACCTTCCTTTTATATGGCAAATGTCATTCCCTATTCACCAATTTTAACTTCTTTTTCAAACATGCGAACTAGAAAGCACTACATAAGTCAGGAGCACAACACATCTGAAACCACAGAGGGTTTCAGATGTGTTGCACAAAGTGTCCTTTGGCATCAGCAAAGTCAGTCCAAAGCTCACAAACCTTGCCTCTGGATTCAAGATATATCGAGTCCTTGCAAAAAAGCAAATTATGATATACTGCCCAATTGTTACCCCAGCAAAGGCTTGACCATAAAACCTAAGAGGGAAATGCCACCTCCACACCACTGTACCCTAAGAAGCCCCAAGGTCTCCCCTTTCACGGACTGAGACGTAGTTTGTCAGCATCAAGGACAATGCATTCAAGGGCATTTAAGTACATCCAATTCCACTACCTTCTGTTTATAGTTCCACGTGGGGTTTCGTAAAACTGCTCTAAAAGCCAATAATTGCCGCCGTGAGCTACCCATCCCTTAAGCAAGGTGTACGAGTGCAAGTTAGTAAGACAAAACCCCCAAAATCAAGAGCAGCGAGGCACAACACGATCCCTGCCATACAATGACTAACTCGTCTGCTCAAATCCCAGCCGTTTTCATTCGAAAATAAGTTCTGGGTCAGTAACATTTGCCAGGCTCCATCGCAATCAGGACTACCGCCCATGTGTTAGGCTGCAGAAATCCCAGCGACCGCTAGATGGCAACGAAGAGACGTTCTGTGAAAAGACGCAAACGTTTTGCCACTTCACGGATCGTTCGGATTACTGCAGATACGGCAGAGGCGATCGTTTCTTTCCTAACGACTACGCCTCCCAAAAGCAAAGGTCGCATAAAAGCACGCACCTCTATACCTTCCATCCCACGACGAAAAGGCCGAATGCGCGGCCTGCGTCTTTATTTATAGGCCGCGTGGGGCCTAGGGACACGCCCCTTTCTCTAGAAGCCAATCGCGATGGCATGGCTTCGTCACGTGACCGGCGCCAACTCGAGGTAAGTATGCCGGTAACGCGCAATGCAGATATTTTCCCGCCGTATTTTTCATGTTTGGGGGTTTTGGGGGGGGGGAAGGGAAGGGGGCACTAAATTCTTACGTTCTTCTCAAGAATTTTAGCCCAAGAAAAGAAACCACGGCCAGTTTACCATCTCTTGAGTCCTATATTTGTCTATCCGCCGGTTTTAATGAGACTTTCTCCCAACTGAGTTGACATGGATTTCCAATATTCTGCGTATTTCTTCATATGCGTAAACAGTAAACAGTAACAGAGTTGGAAGGGACCTTGGAGGTCATCTAGTCCAACCATCTGCTCACGGAGACCTGTACTAGGGATTCAAACCGCGGACCTTTCTGATCAACAAGTTTAGTGTTTTAGCCAGTGAGCCACCTAGTCAGGCTTTTAATATGTTTTGATATGCTTGACTTCTGTGTTAAGTCAGGTTGCACAAAATGACAGGCAAGAAGCTTTTGAGTTACCATTAAACCTGCAGAGCTTAATGATTGCCTTTTTTAAAAAAAATCTGTTCTTCATCATTAGTTGAGTCTTGTCAGTATTTTGAACTCAGTGGATTTATTCTGTTCTCTGTTTAATATATTTTGCACTTTTGTACACGAGTAGGTCAGAATCCACTTACTGTACTTGATTCCGGGCAGATCTAGATAATACTAACCAGATAATTTAAATTAATTTGTCTTGACTTCAACTCTTTCTTACCCTTCAACGCGTGTGATGTGTTTTTATCCACTGGAGGGCACTCCTTGCTCGTTTGGAAAATGGATAACTGCATTGGGATAGGATAAGCTTAGGAAAGGGGGCTAGCAAAACTGGCCTACAAAATAGCAATAGCAGCTAGACTTATATACTGCTTCATAGGGCTTTCAGCCCTCTCTCTACAGAGTCAGCATATTGCCCCCAACAACAATCCGGGTCCTCATTTTACCCACCTCGGAAGGATGGAAGGCTGAGTCAACCCTGAGCCGGTAAGATTTGAACAGCCGAACTGCAGAACTGCAGTCAGCTGAAAATCAGGAATACTGGTGGTCCTCGACTTACAACAGTCCATTGACCTTTCAAAGTTACAATGGCACTGAAAAATGTGACTTAGGACAGTTTTTCACATTGCAGCATCCCTCTGGTCATGTGATCAGAATTCAGACGATTGACAACCGACTTGTATTTATGACGGTTGCTGTGTCCCAGTGTCATGTGATCACCTTTTCCAACTTTCTTATAAGCAAAGTCAATGAGGAAAATGGATTCATTTAACAACAGTGTTATTAACAACTGCAGTGATTCACTTAGCAACGATGGCAAGGAAAGTTGTAAAAGGGGGCAAATCCACTTAAATGTTTCTCTTAGCAACATAATTTGATGGGGTCAATTATGTCCGTACGTCAAGGACTACCTGTACTGGACTTTGCTTTTACCCTATTGGGACAGAAGGAGAAATTATAAAATACCTGACTGGTATTGTAATTCTAATTGTAATTGTATTTGCTTTATCAAATTGCAACATTGCACTCAGTCCCACCCTAGTCCCTAGTCCCACCCGCTACTTTTGGCATCTGGTCTTTCCAGTGCACATTTGCAAGGTCAATTCTCTGAAAAGATGCACATCCTATTAGTTCCTTTTGCCAGAGGGCTGAAAAAATATACAGAAAAGTGGACTCTCCTTAAGGACTTAAATTACGACTCGGCTGCCCCTGTCAATCAAAAGCAGCCTAGAAAGTTTCTCAAGCAGTGATAAGTGCAGTGTGGTGGTGTTGCAAACCATGATCTAGGTGAAACATGGCACCTCTCTTCCAATGAGAAAGGGAGTCAGGATGGGGAGAAGGAGAGCAGAGCTGGACTCCCTGAGGCAAGTTATTGCAGATCTTTGCAAAGCACATCCTGGTCTGGAAGAGCCTGAAGAGGCTTGGTGTCAGGAGCTGTTGTGGAATATAGTTGTGATCTTCAGAAAGGAAGGGAAAGGAGAAGGAAAATGTTTGCTCACCCTGAGAAAGGGTGAGAAAAGGACTCTGAACATTCTTGCCTTGACTTTGTTGGCCTTAAGAAGGAGGGTCAACAAGCTTTTGAGATTCTATAAATGTACCCTGCAACAATAAAATAGCATGCCTGGAAACCCGTTTCTTATCTATTTATCATACTTAGAAACTGCCCCTCTCCCCCACTCCCTGATCTATTCCAAAGGGCTAACTGGAGCCAAAGGAATCCCTTTAAGTATAGTTATGTCCTTATTGGAAAATGTTGCCTTTTTGTTTTTAGGACCCAGATTTTTGGTGGGATTTAAGCAGTGGTAGGATTCAATTTTTTTTACTACAGGTTCGGTGGGTGTGATGTGGTTTGGTGAGCATGACAGGGGGAGGATACTGCAAAATCCCCATTTCCTCCCAATCAGCTGGGACTCGGGAAGCAGAGAATAGAGGGGGGCGGGGCCACCTCTGGATTTAAGGTGTGAAGGTTGAGACTCACTGTTCTCACCCATATGTATAATTTATATTCATACATAGAAACACATACATACATAGTTGGAGATTAAATTTGGAGTATCTCACCAAAGCAAGTTTGACACACATACTAAGGGTATAAGTAGGTAATTCTGTCAGAAAAAGCTGACACATCATGTTCCAGAGCTTTCTAAATCTTTTTTCCTGCTATTGACTTCAATCATGAAATGCAAATGCTAATGAAAATATTCAAACATTTGCAAGCATGCTTCAAATGATTCCTTGGAATTTGTTGAATATTGCCAAGGGGATCGATATTTTGGGGGTGGAAATGGCAATATAGTTCTAATAACAGTGTGAGCAGCCACAGTGATAAATCTATTTCACCATGCTAATGGGCCATTCCATCTCCCCTTCGGTTAGGTTTAGTAAAATCCAAGAATAATAATATCCATTACCAATAAGTTTGATAATAGCCCTTGGCTACAGTCATACAAATGGTTAGACTTGTGTACATTTAGCAATAGCAATAGCACTTACACATAGAACTTATATATCTCTTCAGAGTGTTTTACAGCCCTCTCTTAAGCTGTTTACAGAATCAGTCCTCATTTTACTAACCTCTGAAGGATGGAAAGCTGAGTCAACCATGAGCAGGTCAGGATCGAACCCCTGGCAATCAGCAGAATTAGCCTGCAATACTGTGTTCTAAGTACTGTGCCACCATGCATCCCTATATTTTCAATAGACTTTTAGTTATGTCTATAGGATTCTCAGCCTTCAAAACAATGGCGCATATTTCTGAGTCATGAAATTCAATAAGTTTGACAAGTGGATGTTGAAGAATCAGGTCACATCCTTCTAACTCCAAAAATCCAACCCTAACCCTAACTCAAACCAACCATCAAACAGCAAAATACAATTCCAAATGTGGTAATCCAATACTCCTCTTTTCCTTTGCATGTTGTAACACCTTATAATTAACTCATGCTTTTTTCCCCTGCCATACAAACTTAGATATATCCTTCTGACACTGTTTAAATGGTGTATCAGTTGTCAAAACAGGTATTGTCTGTAACAAAAAACATTCTAGACAAGAAATTTATTTTTATCATTGAAATCCTCACCAGCAATAATGTAATATCATTTTGAAATTAATTCCATGTCTTAACATACCGGTAGTTGTTTTGGTGTTCTATTTTCACATCATTGTTAACATCTTCATATTGTTTATTAATTTTTTAACTTGCTAATCACCCCAAATTATTTGAATTTGCTCATTAATATTGCAATTACCTTTAAAAGACTTTTCAGAACTTACCACATCATATGCAAAAGCATTTAACTTATAAGTTTCTTTTTTAATCTTTACTCTCACAATCCTCTTATTTTGTCATATCTTTGGTCAGTATTTCAACAATCTAAATAAAGAAGAGAAGAGACAGTGGGCATCCATGTCTTGTTTCTTTTTGTATCTCACAAGATTTTATTAGATCTCTGTTAACAATTCTTTGTGCTTCCTGTGAAGTATATATCGATCTTACCCACTTTATAAAGTTCTCCCCAAAATTCATATCTTTCTAAACCTTGAACAATAAAGCTCAGTTCAAATTGTCAAAAGCCAATTTTTGCATCTAACACAATCAATGTGAATTGTTTTTCATTATGGTACTCCAAATATTCCAAAATCTCCAGCAGATTTCTAACATTGTCCTTTAACTGTCTTTTTCATAAAAATCCACATTGGTCTTCTGAATAAATTCTGGCAAAAATTATGTTCAGTGTAACAGCTATAATTATTGTAAACAACTTATAGTCATTATTCAATAATAATAGGCTGCAGCTTGTTTTTTTGTTAAAGTGAAATCTTGTCCCTCATTAAGTATTAATGCTATATTAGCCTTTTTCAACTCTGGTCTCTTTCCTCCCTGTAGGATAGCATTCATCATATTTTATAAAAGTTGTAAAAGTTCATCCTCAAAATATTTATAAGCATCTGATAGTTTACCTAGTCCAGGCACTTTTCCTAATTTAATCTCTTTTCGAGCTTCAGAATGTTTCCTTATTATATGTGGATTCATATTCTGTCTCTTTTCCTCTGCAATCCTTAGTAAATTTTGTTTCTTTAGATATTCATCTGTTAGATAATTCATCTAATATTTTTCTCAGAAGTTCTATCTAGTTGTGGGGAGATTATTTCATTCTAGTCCTCCAACAAATATTAATTTTCATAAGAGAAACCTATTAATCTGTTCATAAATCATTTTGAAAACAATATTGTGTCTTCATTTAAGACATAAATTCCCATGATCAAAGTCTTAATTCCATGCATGTTAATTGCCATTCCAACAAACCTACCATGCTCATAAGTCAATACAGGTTCTAGTTTTAGTTGAGGATTTATATAAATTTATTTTCCCTGTTTTATTTCTT